CCCCAAAACCCCAAAACCCCAAAACCCCAAAACCCCACCTTTTAGTAAAATTACTGAATCCTAATTATAAGAAATATGGTTCTGGATTATTTAACCTCCAAGCTTCAATTATTCCTACAGGAATATCTTAACCCCTTAATAATGGTTTGTCTTTGAATCTTCAACCCGATTGGTTCAATCATAATAGCTTTCAAGAATAGAGAAGAGTTCACTCTTTATGGATCATGGGCAGCAGTAACTATATAGTTGTCCATATATGAGCATACACATGGCAAATGACGAAGCCTGTAACAGACCACCCTAACTGAGTAAGGAGACTCATTCGCAAAACATTTCATGAAAACATATGGAAATTTATCCTCTGTAGGCACCTATACAAGAGAAATATTCAAGATTTCTGTGCTATATGGGCAGGCTTTTTCTGCCTAATTGTCTGATACACATTATTCACCGGTATGTACTTGCTAGGAAAAGTAAACTCTGATAAAGATGAAGACAAGGAAACTCTAATTCTTCTCACAGTAGTAGTGATCAACAGCACCTACGTCTGTATCGCATGTATGGCCCTAGAAGTACTCATAATGTTAATCGTGATGATATTCTTAACAATAGCAATCTTCTTCTGCTTCTTAAGCGTATTTTGCCCAAGATGTCTCGCCTGGAGGCCCAACAGAGATAATGATCGTGTTGACAGGCAATATTTCCTCGGAATTGTCAACGGTGTAGGCAACTGGGAGCATATCCTTCAGTATATTTACAAATACAAACGGAGACATTTTAAGAAAGATAGATATAAGTGACCTCAAGAAGATGGCAAAATTGCTGAAGAAAGTAAGCATGAGTCTTCCTTCAGTAATCAAGAGATTGTGAAGCATCGAACTGGTTTTGATGAGAATTCCAAGAAGCAATCGAAGAGCAGAAGGAAAATGTCACCGAAAGTTGTCCCTTTGAAAGAAACCTCTATAGAACATAAATGTAATTTTGGTTCAGTTAGTTATAGATTTAACACAGAAAAAGGGCAAGAAATCTAAAAAGAAAATCATAGAAGATGACTCTTCAGTCATATGTACTATCTGTCAGATAGAATTTGAGGAACACGAGCTTGTATGTGAGCTCGACTGTGGAAAACTCCATATTTTTCATGGCGATTGCTTGAAAGAGTGGTTCAAAGTTAAGATGTCTTGTCCCACTTGTAGAGCAGATTTAAATAATCTCTACAGTAAGCGATAGTCTAGCCATATTCAACAGGAACTCTATAGTATTAACTTTAGTTTTAGTGCATAAAATATTATATAGAAACAAAGCTTCCCTGGGTTGATAAAAAACATCTGAATCATTTCTTAAAACCCTGCCAAATTTTAGAAACTATTCTCTCCGGGTATTCAATTTAAGAAGAATTTACTCTTGGAAAACTTGACTTAATTAGCCCTTGTTCTCACCTAATAAAATAGAGCCAGCAATAGATGATAAAAAGGATGTCCCAATTATAGAGCCTGAACAAGTCAGGGATCTTTACGCTGAAGATATCCTCGAACTTCAAAGAAAAATGGCAGTAGTGATCAACGACCTTGAAGACATTGATGATGAAAACTTCGATAGTAATCCTTCTTTCTGATGTCTTACAGGTGCTGAATTTATATCAAACCCGGATGTTCATCTCGAGAGAAATGAGGAAGGGAAATTAAGCCTAGAAGAGGAGAAGCAGCCTCCACTTGTTTCGACAGATAACAGTAAGTTCTCTTGTTTAACTAGGTTTGATGACGTTAGTTTTTATTGCAAATGAGTATGGAATACAAATTATTTCATAAGTACTGGTGAAAACTTTACAATATTTGATTCACTGTGAAAATAACAATATCTTCTAGATGAAAGCCCAGATAGGCCAGATTTGGCACATCATAGTAGAAGATATGATGATAGCGACTTAATGAGCTCACATAGACCTCAGGAGATTGCAAGAGGTACCCAAAGCGTAAGGGAAAGTTGAGAGTCAGAAGGAAGGTCAGTAAGAATGGAGTAAGTGAAGTTTGTAACTGATGAATATTGGGGTGTTTTCCGTTTCAAATCTTGGAGTAATCAATGATATAGAAACAATGCCCCACCTGTGCCAGTTCAAGCTCCAAGTTTAAACTTCTCAATCAATGAAGCTCATGTATAATCTTCATAGAGTACATAATATTAATATTTTCAATCTGAAACCATTGCACTGGGGTTTTGGGGTTTTGGGGTTTTGGGG